ACACTGAGGCAATTATTAGTTCATTTAGGTTGCAAATGATAAAACTATCATATTAAATACCTTAAAGTGAATCTATTTAATCAGATTACATCCTTTTAAAATTTAGCTAATATCAGCTCACTGAAGGGATAGCAGTTTTGCAGGAGAAAAGAGTAATCTAGGAACATGAGGGCCTTTAAAATATATTTGGTTAATCTGTTTCCCAACTGGGAAAATCAGGATCTTGCCCAGGATTATTCTATTAGCAACTACTGAAAAAGACTGTTTATTTCCCCTAAGGTTGATGAACTGGGAGGATAGTAATCCTGAGCTGCTACCAGATATTTGTCTACCAAAAGGAGAACCCCTGATTGAGAGAAAATAAATCTCAGATGACATCACATTCATTGAGTCCTGGTTTGCACAGTTCTGTGAAACAATAGATCCTTCCCATTTTTGTTTGTTAAACAAATCTGAACTGGATTTCTGTCCTCCTTCCTAACCAAAACCATTTTGACCAACATATGACCTTAAATGTAGTGCTTATATGCAAGAATAAAACGTGATATAGCTATACTGTATCCCTTTGTAGAATTGATTAAAGCAGGTATAAGTAAGCATTACTTTCTATGAGCGATTTGCGGTGTATGCCAACAAATGGCAGCACAATATATAACAATTTACTTTTCTCAGTCATTTCTTATTCTCAGTAGTCAGTTTTGAAAGTGATTTATTTTCACTCTAGATGTTTGATTAATTACTGGCCCTACATATACACTAATTCCAATTCAGATTTAAGATTAGCTGTCTCAAATTTTGACATGAGAATTAACAGTCCTTCTGCACTTCATGACCTGAATATGTATGAATATAGTCCCTTATTACTCTCATTTTATTCATTTTTTTAAAAACTTAATTCATAAAGTTTGAAATTTTAGTTCAAAGCATGCTGCAGTTAAATTGGGAAGCATGGCAAAGGTTGGATTAGAACCAAATCAGGGGCTCCTGGGCGGCTCAGTTGGTTGAGTGTCTGACTTCGGCTCAGGTCATGGGTTCTAGCGCTGTGTAGGGCTCTCTGCTGACAGCTCAGATCCTGGAACCTGCTTCGGATTCTGTGTCTCCCTCTCTCTCTGCCCCCTCTTGCCTGTGCTTTGTCTCTCTCTCTGTCTCAAAAATAAATAAACATTAGGGGCACCTGGGTGGCTTAGTTGGTTAAACATCTGTCTTCAGCCTAGGTCATGATCTTGCTATTCCGGAGTTCAAGCCCCACGCCAGACTCTGTGCTGACAGCTCAGAGCTTGGAGTCTGTTTTGGATTCTGTATCTCCCTCTCTCTCTCTCTCTCTCTGTGCCCCTCCCCCACTCACCTCTGTGTCTCTCTCTCTGTCTCTCAAAAATAAGCATTTAAAAAAGTTTTTAAAAATAAACATTAAAAAAAATTTTTTAAAAGAACTAAATCAGATTGGCAGAAATTCGGCAACCTTAATAGCTTTGTTTTACATGGTGCTTATTAAAGTTATAGCCACATAAATTCTATCACTTAATGCTAGAATTCTTGGAAATTAACTACTGGAAGAGCAATAATAAATTTGAGGGAGCCCAGGGTAGATAAACTAAGTAATATTAAGAAAGTGAAATATCAGTAGAAAAACTGCTGGAGGACAAGGATAGTCTCAACTTTCTGAGTTTGTTGAGACTGATGCGCTATAATTTTGATGGCTATGACTTGACCTCCGGTGCCTACAACAGTGCCAGGCTTATGGTCAGCACTCAGTAAAGGTTTGATGAATGAATGAATAAATGTTCTACAATAGATACAAATCTTTGGTGCAATAAGGTTTTTCCTGTAATTGCCATAAGTTATAAGGCATAGTCATTGTGGACTGAGCCAGATGGAATTTCAGGTGACCTTTCTTTTAAAATTTCTTCATCGTATGGGCACCTGGCTGGCTATCAGTCAATAGAGTGTGCAACTCTTGATCTCTGGGTTGTAGGTTCAAGCCCCACATTGGGTGTGTAGAGATTACTTTTAAAAAATCTTTAAGGGGGCTCCTGGGTGGCTCAGTCAGTTGAGTGTCCAACTTTGGCTCAGGTCATGATCTCATGGTTCGTGGATTCGAGGCCCGCATAGGGCTCTGTGCTGACAGCTCAGAGCTTGGAGCCTGTTTCAGATTCTGTCTCCCTCTCTGTCTGCCCTGACCCTGCTTGTGCTGTGTCTCTCTGTCTTTAAAATAAATAAACATTAAAAAAAATCTTTAAGTAAAAAGTTTCCTCATCTTAATATTGAAGGAAGTGAGATCAGAAGAGGTAAAAATGATTGCCCAAAACAGAGAGTAGTAAATCAGTTTACAGTAGTAAATCAGTTACCAAACATTTATGGAGTACCCACTACTAGGTAAATGTTTGGCATTGTTTCAGATAATGGACATACAGCAGAGCCTAAGACATCAAGGTCTCTGCCTTCAAAAGAGCTTATATTCCAGTGGGGAGAGAGGATTAACATGTCCATGAGTAAATAGTTTCAGGTCCTGATAAATGATGCCATGAAAACACTAATATAGAAAATTGTAGTGGAGAATGATGGAGGGTGGGAAGAGACCCATTGAGTTAGCATATTGCTCAGCACGGGGCTCTCTAAGAACTCTCATGTGAGCTGAGCTTTGAGTCATGAGCACATATCCATGCAAATGTATGAAGGAAGAGTATTCCAAGTGCAAGTGCCAAGGTCCTGAGATGGGAACAAGCTTGGTGTGCTTGACGGGGGAGAAAAACCCAGCTATGGTGTTTCACCTGGAAGGAAGAGAGGATAAAATGGACTGAGATGAGGTTAGGTGTAGAGGAAAAGGAGTTGGGTTTTATTACAGAGGGTGATGAGACACTGTACAGAAGGTTTCAAGGAGAGGAGTCATATAACCAAATTTTCATTGTAGACAAACCACTCAGGCTGCTATGTGGAGAAGGGGCCAGGGTGGGAATGAGGGGAGGCTGTGAGCCCCTTGGAAGGCCGTCCTGGTAATCCAGGCTTGATGGTGGTCACTTGGACTAGGGTGTAGCAGTGGACAGGGGGCCAGTGGCCATGCTCAAGCATGTTTTTTTTTGTTTTT